TGTTACCAATCTCGGGATAGTTTTAGACTCGGACTTTAAGTTTAATAAGCAGATAAATTCTGTTCTTCAAAAAAGCTTCCTTCAGCTAAGGCAGATAGCTAAGCTCAAGTCCGTCCTGTCCAGATCCGACCTTGAAAAATTAGTCCATGCATTTATTACAACCCGGCTGGACTACTGTAATTCGCTTTATGCTGGGGTCAGTCAGGTCTCTCTCTCATGTCTCCAGGTTATCCAAAATGCTGCAGCTCGGCTACTAACAGGAACTTGCAGGTTTGAGCACATTACTCCAGTTCTAAAAAAGTTAAATCTGGTCCTCTGGACATTCAAAAACACAAAACAAAGCAAATCAACAAAAAAATGTAGAAACGTTTCGTCTCTCATCCGAGAGACTTCCTCAGTCTGAGGAGCTGTATTCAGCTCAGTCTCTTAAATAGCACCTTCTCAGGGTGGATCAACCAGTTTTGCTGCTGACAACCAAAACCAGCTTATCACATGCTCAAGAAGGACCATCAGCCTAACAATGGATCATTAGCACACTGATGGCTGTTTACTGTTCACAGAGGGCTGAGTGATACTAGCAATCACAGCATTGTAAGAGGGGGACAGTTGAATCCGGAGGCCTCCACCCCTGTTTAACGATGGACGATTTCTTTTCACAAAGATGGCCTCCTTTACTCCTCTCTCAAACCATCGTTCCTCTCTGTCCAGGATGTGAACATCTTCATCCCTGAAAGAGTGACCGCTGGCCTGGAGATGAGTGTAGACCGCAGAGTCCTGGCCTGATGATGTTGATCTTCTGTGCTGGGCCATCCTTTTGGCCAGTGGCTGTTTTGTTTCCCCGATGTAAGACTGATCACAGCCCTCCTGACACTGAACAGCATACACAACATTGCTCTGTTTGTGCCGGGGGACTGGATCTTTGGGATGAACCAGTCTTTGCCGTAATGTATTTTGGGGTTTAAAAGCCACTGGGACGTTATGTTTAGAAAATAAACGTCTCAGTTTCTCTGATACCCCCTCAACATATGGAATGACCACTGGTCTGGGTCTGGGTTCCTCCTTTTCACCTGTTGGCTGACTGGAGTCCTGTTTGGGTTTCTTCTCTGCTTTCAGGAAGGCCCAGTTAGGATATCCACATTGCTCTAGAGCCTGTCTTGTGTGGGATTTCTCCTTCTGCCTGGCTCCTGAGCTAGTGGGGACGCTGTCTGCTTTGTGATACAGAGTCCTGATGACTCCTAACTTGTGTTCCAAAGGGTGATGGGAGTCAAACTGCAAATACTGGTCTGTGTGGGTGGGTTTGCGGTACACCTCAGTTTGCAAATGTCCTCTATCAGAGACAGAGACCTCACAGTCCAAGAAAGCCAACCTGCCATTTTTTACATCTTCTCGTGTGAACTTGATGTATTTATCCACAGAGTTGATGAACAACTGTGTCAACTCTTGAAACTGTGCCTGCAGTCAACCTACTTCACATATGGGGGGCAATGTTATAGGCAGAAACATGGGTGGGCTATGGGGTCTCCAGTTTCTCCTATTGTTGCCAATCTGTACATGGAGGAGGTAGAAAAGAGAGCCTTGACGTCCTTTTCAGGGACACCACCAAGTCATTGGTTCAGGTATGTTGACGACACCTGGGTTAAAATCAAATCTCAGGAAGTCCAACATTTTACTGACCACACCAACTCTGTGGAAGAGGCTGACTGTTCCCGCCAGCTTTAAAGTTGCCTGTTTTGCTAAGATGCTGCATTGTGTGTTTACCAAGAAAGATGAGGGAAAGTTTCTTTTCCTGTATAGGTGGAGTCTGGGTCAGAAATGACCACCGTCACAGAGGCGTGAAGTGATGTTCTGCTTTCCTCCTTAAAATGAATATCTGCCTCAGGGGTTTTTCCAGGACATGCAGAGGTACACCTATTCAGGGATGGATAGTTAGGAGTAATGGTCTCTTTCAGAGACCAAAAGGGGGAAAATGTAAAGACGCTCTTATCTGCTGTGCTATATTGCTCGATGTATTACAACTGCATCTTGTCCTTTATTTGTATCTGCTTGTCTTTTGGTATCAACAAGTACAGATTGAACTAAGTCAGAGAATGTATTTGAGTTTGTTGTGTATGGGACATGAACTTCGAGGGAGCAGCTGGTGTGTGTCTCACGCTGATGACAAGATCACCAGTAACTGGAAGGCAGAAGAAAATAATAAACAACTCCATAAAAGGACTTCCGGGAATGAAGACATCAGTTTGAATTAGTTTAGACAAAGAACTGAAAGAATGTTGTGAAACGTCTCTGGATAGAGCTTTTGTGTTTAAATACAGAAGGAACTGAAGCTCCGGTCAGACGCGTCTTGGATTTTTGCTGTATCTCTGTTGGTGTGGGGTAAGAGCGTCTCCTTTCAGCTGAAAGCTTTAATAAATGTTGGTAATACTTTTTAACTTGAATATCTCTGACTGATTATTGTGTCTTTTCTCCATGTATCTCCAAACCAATGTGAGGAACAGGTGAATAGGCTGAAAAGTCTGAGTTGTGTTGATTTTCCTTGACACGAGTCAAAGAAGGTCTTCAGGAGCACCCCCTGCACTCCAAAAGACCTCAGTCTCCTCAGCCGGTAGAGTCTGCTCTGACCCTTTCTGTAAACTGCATCATTGTTGTGAGACCAGTCCAGTTTATTGTTCAGGTGAACACCCAGGTACTTGTAAGAGTCCATGATCTCAATATCCACTCCCTGGATGTTCACCGGGGTCAGTGAGGTGGGTCTGTGCCTGTGGAAATCCACCACCATCTCCTTAGTTTTAGCAGCGTTGATCAGGAGGTGGTTCTGCTGGCACCAGTCCACAAAGTCTTGAGTCTGCTGTCTGTACTCTGAGTCATCCTCACCTGTGATGAGGCCGACCATGGCAGAGTCATCAGAGAACTGTTGCAGATGACAGTGAGGAGAGTTGATGGTGAAGTCTGCAGTGTAGAGGGGTGAAGATGAACAGTACCGGGGGGGGGTTAAGGGCCTTGCTCAGGGGCCCAGATTTGGGGCAAATGGCAAATTAGGGTGGAGATAGGTGTGGGTGCTTCACCAATCCCACCCACATTTTTATGTTGTCAGTGAACCAGCAATCTTCTGATCACAGGCCCATCTTCCCTAACCCCTGCACCACCACTCCCGTGGATATTAACATACAAAACGAATAGCGTAAAATTTCAACTTTAAAGATAGGCTATTATACAGATGAACTAAACTATTTTTAGAGCAAAATTATTTGGAAAAATATAGAACAAGACTATTTTAATTGAACGCGCTGCTCGCTTTGGCTTTTGTAGATTCTGCTACTTCCTTCACAGTAGATGACAGCATTTGCGGAGACGCGCACGGCGGGTGATCAGCTGATCCATCTGCGCTTAACTGGACTTTTTTTTTTACCTCTTTCAACCGGATGGTCGGACCTGCCTCCTCCTCAACAAGTAGATTAACACAATTTTATATAGTGCATTCTTATTTAGTTTTTATTTAACCATCCATACTCAACTATATCTCTACAAAGCTAATCTGAATCTGTAGAGACTAATCAGTGCTTTAGGTCACATTCATACATTGATGGGACACACATCGAAGGCAATCTTGCCCAGGGACACTTCAACATGTGACTGCTGGTGGAATCAAACCCCCAACTCTCCCATTGGAAGCCAACTGCTCTAACCATTCAGCCACAGCTGCCCCAAGAACTGGGGTTGCTGCTGCATCTAAGTGCAGTACAGCACAGTACAGCCTCTGAGCACATGTTCCTGACACACCAGCTTCTGTGCTCCTCCCGTTTACCCGTTCTGTCTCAGTGTAAAAGCAAAAGAGTGTGTGTCTGCATCTGAGTAGGAAAACACAAGGAAATAATAGAAAATAAATGTTTAAAAAGAATTCTCTCAATTGTTTGCGACTTGGTTCCTATCGTTCATTTAAAAAATCTTTTTAAATTATTTGGATTGTTGTGAACATTGCATCTCTACTGAAAATGCCATTATTTGCCTGGCAGCCAAGCTGAAGACATCTGAATTGTATAGTTTCAGTCTCGTTTAAGGACTTAAGGACTGCACGATTTACACATTAGCGTCTGGAAACAGGTAGGCAGAGGATGACTCAGAAATATGTAGAATAATGTAAAGTTTTGATTATTTTGTATTTATCATTTTTATTGTATATCAAACAAAACTGATAATTGGCATGAATAAAAAAATTGGTTATGCAACGTTAGTTTTAGCTCTGTTTGTCCATCCATCCATCCATCCATCCATCCATCCATCCATCCATCCATCCATCCATCCATCCATCTGTGCATAGATGGATGGATGGATGGACAAACAGAGTGCAGAGAGAGAGGAAAGAGGTGCTACAGAGGTAGGGTGTTTGAGCCCCCCCAGTCTGCCTCGGTGTGGCTTCTGAATGGACCAAAGTGGGGGAACTGTCAGTCCTGGAATGAGGCGTCCTGTGAAAGAGGCTAGTATCACAGAGTTGCAACTGGTGGTGACTAGTTGGCAAACACCTTTTGCAAAGAAGGCTCCAAATACCTTACAACATTTGCAGGAATTTATTCAGAAGTTTATGAGGCTTGCAATTTTGTTGCTTGACTTGTTAACCTGTTGTCATTGTCGCCTCAAGCCTGTGTCAAACTCTCTCAGTTTAGTTTTCATGTATTCAGCAGTGCTAGAATTATATTTTGAAACATGCATAGGCTCTCTCCTATGACAGAAAACATCAGAAGCAATGTCTAGGTCTAAAAACCACGATGAAGACAGATAAAAATCATAAAAAAATTAACAGTCCAGTTTGAACTGATTTTAACACAAACATACTCCGGTAGATTAAATAGGTAAGGGCTGCTGCCTAGATGGGTACACTGTTGGCAGAGGTGGGACATTGAATATTTTTACAGTTTTACAAGTCATGCAGATGAAAATTGACAGTAGTTTTCAAGAATTGCTTCATTAAACCCTGTCACACAGCCTGCAGATTAAAAACAGAAAAATCAGTGAGACTGCTGTGATAGATTTCTTTTTTTTTTTTTTTTGGACAATCTGGAGTTACAACTGTGTTGGAAAGTTTGTGAACCCTTTTGAAATTTCTATATTTCTGCATAAATATGACAGACAAGAACATAAGATGTAAAATATTTCTAACCTACAAAATAGACATTTGTGACCTTCCAAGAATAGCTCCAAAATCTCAGTCATTAAAAAGTGATTTCAGGTAAGTAAAAGAAGCATGAAATGTACTCAGCAGCTGAAGCATATCTCACAGGTGTCCACATAGTATTTACCTGCACACATAGTCTGCCTTGCAGATCCGTAGTTGAACCAGGCAGTTGGGCTTGTCCTTCTCTTCATAGGAGCAAGATGGCACAATGGTTTGCCTGCGGCGCTCGGCACATGCTGTATCAGTGCAGGGACAGAACAGCAGCTCATGGGTGTAGTCAGGGGGAACACGGTCAAAGAACTTTCTGAGCGCCTTGTTGCACTTTGGTCGACTACATGGCCCTGAGCGAGCTGATGGCTGAATGCAGGCTGAGACGTACTCTGTACGAAGTTTTTGACATGTCTCATCTATGTTACATGCTTTGGCAGCGTCCAGGCAGAGGTTCACTGTTGTTACCTCAGATTCTGAAAAGAAAAACACAAAAGACAAAAGCTTTTCAGTCTTCTGTGCACTTTGACAAATTCAAATCACAGGTAATGTTCAATGATTTTGATGCCTTATTGGAGTAAATATGACTTGCCACTTTCACCTCTGGACTCAGATGCAGTGGTGAGAAAGAAAACAAAATGTGCATTATGAGAAAAAAAACTCTAAAAGATAATGTGTTATCAGCTGCTTTTTATTACTTGAAAGGAAAAGTCATCTATGTCATCATAGGATGTGCATCTAGAACTGATCAACTTTTAGAGTCAATCCACTTCAAAGCATTATTTCAATGAAAGCTTGATATTTTATGTAATTTATTTATTTATTGTTTATTTGATAGGGACTGACACACAATAACAGACAAACTGAATAAAGCAGCAGTCCCATGCTTGTATCATGGTGCTTATTGCATGAGCTAATTTGCAGCACTTGTCCCTAGATGGGCTTTTACAAACAGGATATCTAAGATGCTAAGTAGAGCTGTCATTTCCAACCCAAACCTGGAGACCGGGCCCGCCCGACCCGGATTCAGATTGGGCCAGTTCATAATAATGTGCGGGCTAGGTTAGTGTTGGGCTTTTGATTGCGTCAAAGGAACGTGCGCGGCTGACAATCAAATATAAAGTAACATGGCTTGCCATACCTGCCACACGTGGCCATTTGACCACACGCTGAACCACAGCCTTGAAAGAGGTAAAAAGTTAATTTAAGCTTCAGATGGACTACTGCCTGCGACCCATCACCCAAATGGACGTTCATTCAGCCACTGCACTCAGTGGACGTGTGCGACCGACGACCCAAACAGGTGAGATCACAAAATATTCGACATGTCAGAGCAGGGTCCATGTCTGAATAATGCAGAATGCAGCAGAAGCAGGGATTTAATGCGCTTTGACGGCCATGAAAGGACAACCCACCCACCCCCCCCCACCCCCCCAGCTCCGATCTTCTGCCCCCTTTATTCAGCTGCGCACGTCCACCAACCAGCAGTCAAAGCTTAATTAAAAATGTCGGATGGGGTGGTGGGTGCGGTTTCGAGTTCGGACATGTAATTACTGTTAATTTGTCGGATCAGGTGGGGTTCTGAAATGATGGCTACGGGCTGGGGCCGGGTTGGGTTGGATTTTTTTTGGACCCGAATGCAACTCTACTAGGAAGTGGAATGGTAAGAGTAAAATAATAAAAATAATATTAACAACATAAACAGAGTCATACACATAAAACAAATGGATTAAAACATAACAATAAATAACATTAAGCATGAGTGCAATGCTATTTTTGACACAAGCAGAGTTTAGTTTGTTTTTTTTAAACATAATGAATCTGGTTACAGGCTTTAAATTGACAGGGAGTGAGTTCCAAATTGCAGATCCTCTCATAGAGAGAGAACTTTGAGCAAAAGTGGTTCTGCGAAAAGGAACCTTACAGTCCACAGAGGCTGCTTTACTTAAAGTTTCCAGTGATATTTTGATGTCAGCCGACTCTGGAAAATCCACAGTGATGGTTCTCCTAGATCTAACATCTGCTTTTGACACTGTTGAACACAATATTTTGATTAATAGGCTACGGGATGTAGTTGGTCTATCAGGCTTTGCACTGGAGTGGTTTATCTCCTATCTTTCTGGTAGAACATATAGTGTTTTTACAAACCAAATAATGTCAGAATCCAAGAACCTGCTATGTGGGGTACCTCAAGGCTCAGTGTTGGGACTTATTCTCTTTCTTTTGTATGTTTTCCCCCTCGGCCAAATAATAAGTCAGTTTTCAGATGTGTCGTATCATTTCTATGCTGATGATATTCAACTATATAGTTCCTTCAAACCTTCTGAACATCACAAATTGTCCTCCTTGTTAAATTGTATTAGCAATATCAAACAGTGGGTGAATGACAACTTTCTGCAACTTAATTGTGATAAAACTGAAGCCCTAATTATTGCACCTGACAATCAAATATCTGGAATTAAGCAACACCTTGGTGTATTGGCCTCATCTGTCAAACCAAATCTCAGAAACCTTGGCATTATTTTTGATTCTGCCATGTTACTGCAATGACAGTCTCGTGGATTAATACGAAATTGCATTTTTCAACTAAGAAATATTTCTAGGCTTAAGTCTCTTGTGTCAAAAGCCGAATTAGAGATGATTATTCATGCTTTTATTACATCCCATCTGGATTATGGTAATAGTCTTAAGGATCTTGATCGTTTGCAGACAGTTCAGAATGCTGCTACAAGGCTTTTAATCAGCACATGGAAAAGAGAGCACATAACACCAGTTTTAATCTCTTTACATTGGCTACCGTTACATTTTAGAATTCATTTTAAAATTTTAGTTCTTACTTTTAGAACTCAGAGTGGTCAAACCCCAGTCTACATTTCTGACCTTTAAGAGCCCTGCTCCTCTTCTCGGAGCCTCAGATCTTCCAGTCAAGGCTGTTAATGGTCCCATGAACTCATTTTAAGACCAGAGAGGATAACACTTTTAGGGCTGTGGCCCCCAGACTGTGGAATGCATTGCCTCTGACTTTGTGCTGCCTTGCTTCTCTTAATATTTTTAAAAAGCAGCTGAAGACACATTTGTTTAAATTGGCTTTTAATTAGTTTTATATTGTTTTATGTCATATGCATGTAGTTTTATTTTTTATCGTTTGTTTTTATCTTTTATCTTGTGTTTTTATGTATTTTATTCTGTAAAGCACTTTGTGGTTTCTGACCTGTAAAAGGTGCTATATAAATAAAATTTACTTACTTACTTACTTACAGTCGCCATTTAAAGCCGTTCTGGTAGATCTGCTGTAGCCCTGCAGTTTCTATATACAATTGCCTAATGGTCTGGGTGCAAGTCCATTTAAGCATTTGAAGATCAATTTTTTAAATGGGTAATTTATAAAATTGGAAAATTCTAGAATACTGAACTTAACTAAAATATTACAGTGACAAAATCTGATTGGCTTTTGGTATAAAACCTTCAAGGCCAATTGTAGAGAATTTCCAGTGGTTTAAGTGTAGTTTGGTGAGACTGTGACCAGACAGTAGCTCCATAAGACAAATGTGAAAGAATCATTGAGTTGAAGAACATCTCTGCACAATGAAGTATCAAACATTTTCTAATAATTTTTAAACATTTTATGCTTGATCTAACAGTTTTGCTGATTTTATCAACATGGTTCTTAAAATTTAACTGAGCATCGAAATTATTTCTAAATATTTTTCCCGTGATACTTGTTCAATAGAATCCCCGCTGATTTGAATATGCAAGGACTGTGATGGAGCTTTCTTTATTGAAAAGCAAATACACTTATTTTTCTTTGTATTAAGGGTTAAGCAGGAGTCATTTAGCAAAGCTGATATTTTCTGTAAGCTGTTGTTTTTCTCTGACTACGACACTGCTTTTACATGGCATGTGAATGATCGCGTCATCAGCATGCTATCGCAAATTAAATTCAGGACAATTTTCAGGAAGATTATTAAAATCCAGGCTGAAAAGGATGGGACCTAAAATAGTTCCTTGAGGGATCCCTGTTTCAATTGTGAAAAAAGAAGATTTACTACTATTGATGACGACACTTTGTTCATGATCTTTTAAATATGACTGAACCCAAGACAGTGGTCATCCTGAAAAATGAAAGCTTTGAGATTAGTAAATTATGGTTCAATAGGACAGGGATGGTCTTTAAATGGTTAATGAGCTTGGGCACTCGATGTGTTTTAGCCAAGGCCTAACAGTCGAATATTTCACTGTGCTAGGGTAATGCAAAGTGACAGCGCAAAAGAAATAGCTCCTCGATCTCTCCCGCCAGACAACAAGTCTTGTAATTACTGCTCCTTCAACCATCCAGCCCTCCCTCTCTACATCTAGGGCCAGTCCTTACCTGATTTTCTCCTTCCCTCCCTATGTTTCCCCTTGCTATGTGCTTGCTGTTTGCAGTGCTATCAGCTCCACTCTATCTGCCTCTTCTCTCCTTCACTCAGCTCTCACTGTCTCCTGCATCGACTCTTTCTCAGCTTTGGCCATCTTCTTAGTGTCCATGCTCCCACTGACTTCACCAGTAATGAGCCACCTCTGTGGAGGTGGTGGTACTCCCCCCCCCCCCCCCAAAAAAAAACCAGACTTTCTTCTGGATGCATTATTTCACAATCCATCACTGGTGTGCTCATTTTAAAAATATTTCTCCCTTGTGACGCCTCCAGTCAATACAGCTACGATGATGTTTAGTTCCTCTGGTGAAAAGGGCTACTCATTAGTTTGTTAAGTGCCGTGGTTGTGTCTCCTTGTGGATTTAAAACTGTGTGAGCTGTCATATAAAAAAGAATGACCTTGGAGAGAAAAGTAATGGCCACTCAAAAAGCTTAGGCTATTGTGTTCCTAACTTTAAGGGACAGTCTGGTCAATTTTAAAATGAAATTATCCCCAATAGTTATCAATAGTCAAACGTAGAGTAGAGCTATTCTTCATAGAGCCTCTATGAAGAAAGAGGAAAAAGTCTTTACCAAGGCTACGCTAATGGCTTGTCAAACAAGTGCCAGCTTAATTTTATTTGTATTTTGTTTAAATAACGCTTATCAACATGTCCAGTCTGTTCAAAAGTTTACTTAACACCTGATGGACTCGCATCATTATTGCCTTAGTACAAATCTATGTTAGCATATACAACGTCTATCTGTGCACAGCATACAAATGTTTGATGTTTGAGCACCTTGTTGCTCTCTGAAGGCAACCAGATCCTCTGGATTTATTTGTTTTAAAGAGACATGTAATTTCGAATGGTTAGCTTAGCTATCCTGATGCATGCTCAATGCATGGTTGCAATGCAATGGTTAGCTTAGCTGTGTATCTTTGTAATTACGTACTGTTGTGAGTAATGACGCAGACCATATCGACTGATGTACAATGTTAGAGCTGTACCATGTGACCACCCTGCTCTCCTGAATTTGTGTTCCTCATGTACAACTGCTGCTCTCCTCCCCCTTGCTTGTCT